TTAACCGCTTCTTCTCCTACCTGAACCTTTATTGAAGAGCTAGACTCCAAGATGCATAACTCCTTCGATTGGTCTGGCTCTCTACTAGTCAAATTATTTTTATCTCTCTTGGTTTTGCTGGAAGAATCCCCAACATTATTCTTCTCCACCGAAGAATTTGAATGAGGGGTGACAGGTATTGGTTGAGAACCAAGAGACCCTGGCTGGTTGTTGTTGCTTGAATTTTCAGTCCATTGCAGCCCATCAACTACCTTTAACCATTCTCCAAGCTGTCCATCTTTCACCTCATTGTTGGCAATATCCTTTAATCTCTTCACACAATCCCTATCTAAGTGCCCAATCTTACCACATTAATAGCATAAGTCCACCAACTTTTCGAACTTAAAATCACCACCACGAGATGCTCTTATAGTCTAATACTAGTACACCTCACTAATGGCTCCTTCAAGTTAATACTCACATGCAGTCGAAGAATTCTGCCTACATGGCTACCTGCTTTGGCAATCACCACATTTTGAACTTTCTGAAAGACGCTCCGAATCTTCAACCCTACCTCGGTGCAAATCCAGTTAAGGGGGATGTTATGGACTTGAACCAATAGTCTCAGATCCTCAAAGCAAGTATGATTTCCTGACAACCCTTCCCTTCACTCTTGCAGTATAATATATATAATGATTATCAAACACCCATTTGGATCACATTTGGATCACAACGCGCTTTCCCATCTCCGATTATCTTCCCAAATAAGCTTCTTTTGCATTCTCTTCACTCTTGTGCACGTCCTCCGACTCAATATCGATTATCAAATTCTCAGATTCAGATAGAATGAAATCTTTCAGACGTTGTTCCAGCTCCTCCGCCATATTTACCCTCGGCTCCCCGCCTAATACTTTGTCGTTCATCGATCTCCAAAAGGAAAGAATGGAAAACAGGAAAAATCCACCCAAATAGCCACTCAAATGAGGAAAAACGCTTACAGACGAGAGATATGAGCTCTCAATACAATTTGATACATGTAATAACTGAATTAATTAATGGCCTTGTTTGGCGATCAGCGGATAGCGGATAGCGAATAGCGGATTGTATTAGCGGATAGCGGATAGCGGATTATATTAGCTGATTTGACCAGCGAATTGCATTAGCGGTTTTTAAATAAGTGTTTGGTAAATAGCTGAAAGTTTATAGCTGTTTGATATTGCAAATTACCAATAAGGATATTTTTATTATTTAGGGTGTATTCTTTTAATAATAATATATTAAAACATTTAATATTCTTTAGTTGGTAATTTATAAATATATTATTTTTTAAAAAATTTACTAACACTTGATTAAGAAGTTATAAATTTTACATTTTTCAAGATAAATTAATCATATGGATGACATATTATTATTTATTAGCACCATAAACCAATGTAAATTGTAAAATAAATAATACAAATTAAAAAGTTCCAAATTAAAATAGTAGATTGTGAATCCTCTATCCCAAAAAGCTCCTCTAATGAGCTTTTTTCTAAATTAGAGTTTTGGGCCCAAAAAGCTTATAAAATAAGCTATTTACCAAACAAGCTTAATAGCGGATTTGACGGGTCAAACCTCTCAATGAAGTCCAATCCGCTAATTTATCTTCAATCCGCTATCTTCCAAACGGGGCCAATATCAATCAACAGGTTTAATTTACTTGATAATAATTTCACTTTTTATGTTTTAA